GAGGGAGGGAGGGAGGGAGACAGAGAGAGAGAGAGAGAGAGAGAGAGAGAGAGAGAGAGAGAGACAGACAGAGAGAGACAGAGAGAGACAGAGAGAGAGTGGCGAGGGTTTGTGTGTGCGTGTGTGGGCAGTGTGCTTCGCGTGTGGACGTGCGAGCAGGGGAGACACGCGACAAGGAAGAAGCAATATCGACATGAGCAACATACACACCCGTGCATGCATGCACAGACGCGTCTATCACGGCCCAAATAACCTGCTCCCTTCCCATGCGGGGTCTCCTAGCCAACAACTCACCCGACGCGAACCTCATAACACAAATAAAAGGAAGGGAACTCGTGAGAATAATGAATGCTTTAGGGTTTGTATTTTTCGGGTCGCCTCTCTCGGTTGTGTTAATCGAAAAGCCTAGAACGCGTCTCTCCACACTTCCCCATGCGCAATGCTCGCCTACTCATGTGCGCTGTAGAAAAAACTACTCACCACACTGCCCGCAGAACTCGGAGCAACAAGCTTCGTTACTCTGCCACCCCGGGTAGCCGTTCTCGCAGTATGAAGAGGCTGGACGTTCGCGTGGCATCGCACGTGTGGTTCGTCAACATCGCAGGAGGAGGAGGCGACACGGATGAGGAGGGGGGGCGGGGGGGACGGTGGAGTTGATGACGCGGCGGGTGGGTGTGGATGTGCATTGTAGGTGGGTGGGTCACTTGGGGTCAGTTGGGGGGAGGGAGCTCAGAGCAAAGCATCGGGGAAAAAAACATCCGTATACTGTCGGGGGTTACACTGAAACACGCCGAAAGGCCATCCAAACTATATTCACAACGAGAGTCGTCGAGGGCCCACATGAGAGCACGAGAGGGCCCCGGGGTCTCAGCACCCCGTCCTTCACACGCACACGAGAAAAGCACAACAAGAACGGATGCGTGGGCCCCAAGGCACGAGCCGACCCACTGGCACACGGTCCAATCGACTGCTGAAAAAAAACGACCCAAACCTCCACGGTTTTTTCCCATCGACAGGCCCAACGACTCAGAGGAACGACCGGGCTGGCGCAAAAAAACAACCACCACCCAAGCGCCGCACGATACAATTGTAGCACACAAGCACGAGAAAACAGACTCACCGCCTGCGACCGGAGCAACTGGAGTGAACGAGCCCGCCACCGGCGAAGCGGTCGCGACCGCCGCCGTCGGCGTCGCGACCGAGGGCTGGGCGCTGGGCGCGGCCACCACCACCGGCGCCGCCGCGGGCTGCGCGGTGGCCGTCAAGCTTTCCGTCGGCGAGGTGCTGCTCGGTGCGATAGTAGTAGTAGTCACCGGCGCCGTTTGCCCCGGGGCCGTCGTCGTCATCGACGGAGGCGCCGTTCCCGCCGCTGGCGCAGCCGGCGCCGGCGTGGCCGCTTCCACGGCCGTCGGAGCCGGCGCCGGCGTGGCCGCTTCTGTCGCCGACGGGGTGGTGATGATGTCGGGGTCGACGATGCACGGGGCCACCCCGTCGTCGACCCCGCACGTGACGTCGCTGTCCAAGATGTCGTCCACGCAGCAGTCTGACCCCCCGTCTGATCCCGGCGCAATGGGCATTTAGTTACACAGGCAGTAGTCCCCGGGGGGAGGGGGGGTGGTGTCAGTCCGTCACACTCCATAGTTAGTGGTGAGGTGAGGACCCAGTTGATTTGAACGTGTGGGCAGTAAAAGCAACTTCGGACAGCAGGGCGTGGAAGCGGCGGGGGTATGTGGTTGTTCCACGTCCGTTCGTGACTCCACCCCTTTCCGAGTTACTCCTCAGGCTCTTCGAGCTCCGGTACACAAAAATCAACGAGAAAACTCGTCGAACGTACTTACTTACGCCATACCCGCACCGCATCGAAGGTCACGCTGTTACCAGAAAATATGTGCAGAGTCGCACAAGCACGACTGATGTATCTGATACAAGCACACAAGTGCATACGTACAAACGGCACGGAAGAAAAGAAAGGAACAAAAAAAATAACATTTCCGAAGACGGGTATCATCTTCTCAGACACCAGACCCGCCCGCCATCAGCACCACTACCCACCACTGGCAAGCGCGAGCAGGCTCAGTCTTGTTGATATCTACATCTACTTATGTAATACATGCATGTCTCTTACCTGTGCCTTCTACGTCGGAGCAGCCCGACCCGCCGCACATGCCGCACGCCGCGATGCAGCACACCTCCTCATTGCTGGACAAGATCCCCTCCACACCGGCGACGCACTCTGAGCAGTGTTTGTTCGACCACGAGCAACAAAAACAAGAAATTTCGATCACACGACGCAAAGCGAGTGAGGGATAGAGCTACAATATACAATCAAGCTAAAGCGGATCTTCCGACTTATGCAGAAGATGGAGTGCCCCGCCTCACAGTCCCGAGCGCTGCGAGCGAAGCCGGGAGTTTCGGACCCCCCTCAACTCAACACGTTAACGTCGGCCGCTGCGAGCGAAGCGGGTCCCCCTCAATTCAACACGTTAACGACGGCCGCTGCGAGCGAAGCGGGGAGTTTCGGACCCCCCTCAATTCAACACGTTAACGTCGGCCGCTGCGAGCGAAGCGGGTCCCCCGCAATTCAACACGTTAACGCCGGCCGCTGCGAGCGAGGCGGGGAGTTTCGGACCTCCTCACTTTAAGACCCTTAACGCCGGCCGCTGCGAGCGAAGCGGGGAGTTTCGGACCCCCTCAATTCAAGACCTTTAACGCCGGCCGCTGCGAGCGAAGCGGGGAGTTTCGGACCCCCTCAATTCAAGACCTTTAACGCCGGCCGCTGCGAGCGAAGCGGGGAGTTTCGGACCCCCTCAATTCAAGACCTTTAACGCCGGCCGCTGCGAGCGAAGCGGGGAGTTTCGGACCCCCTCAATTCAAGACCTTAAACGCCGGCCGCTTCGAGCGAGGCGGGGAGTTTCGGACCCCCTCAACTCGAGACGATAACGCCGGCCCGTCCGCTGGCCCGCGCGAGGACGCAGATCGACCTCTCTCCTTCGCGGCGCCGACCGGAAAAGTATTTCGATCGCGATCCCCTGTGTGGCGGGGGCTCGACGGTCGCGCGCCTGCAGCGCTAAGGCACCGTCAAGGTCGACCAAGTGTCGACCTGCTGGGCTGCATCTCGACTCATCCCAGGATTCTACATAACCTTTTCGTTCTCAAAGAAACAGACCTTCGATTGGGTGAGAAATCGGCCGAGGTCGATTGACCTCTCCTGTTCGGGGCGCCGACTGTAAAAGTATTTCCATCGCGACCTCCCTGCGGCGGGGGCTCGACGGTCGCACGCCTGCAGCATTACGGCACCGTCAAGTTCGACCAAATGTCGACCTGCTGGGCTGCATCTCGACTCATCCCAGGATTATCCTAGGGAGAACCTTTTCGATCTGAAAGAAACAGACCTTTGACAGCTTCTTCGCGACTTTCGAACCCGCTGATGACGTGATTTGGCGGAAATACACCCAAGGCTTGAACCATAGTGTCACAACCTCACATAACATTAAGTCGCTTTGTGTACCGTATACCCAGAATACCCAGCGGCCCTCTTCAGTGATGCTGCTTGGTAAAGCTATATGATGCCGTTTCCCGTGTGACCGCCGTGTGACCGGAATGTCCGCTTAAGTGCACATGTATGAAGGCATGAAAGGCAATGTGCTTCCATCTTGTGGAAGACTAAAAGATTCGACCCCAAGGGACGAAGGGATCGTTCACCGATAACATGGGGGATGCTGTATGCCGATGACGCTGGCGTTGTATCGAGGTCTGCCGACGGACTGGCAAGGACGATGGCCTTCATGGTAAAGGTGTTCGTGGAGTTCGGGCTGACGGTATCGGAGAAAAATACGGAGACGCTCCTGTACGCGTCAAGGAGCAGCATCAAACACCACCGCTCCCCCCGCCGCCACCGCTGATCATCGAGGCAGCAGGGCAGAGGTACGCCCAGACGGTAAAGTTCAGATATCTAGGTGGCCTCGTCAACGAACATGGCGACCTCACCCGGGAGATCCACTACCGGAGTAGAACAGCGTGGGTGTGCGTCACAAGATATGGCCGGGAGCTTTTCGACAGGCCGAGAGCACCGTTCCGACTCAAAGACTCGCCTGCTACAGGCGGACGTGATGGAGGCACTGCTGTACGGTTGCATAACATGGACGCCACGTCGCGACCACGACCGACTGATGCGATTGACACATCACCGGCTGCTCCTGCGAGCTATCGGTTACCAACGCAAGAAGGGAACCTACCGGCAGCTTTCCTACGCCCAGACCCTGAAGAGGGTCGGGTGCCAGAGCGTGCCAGCCGCTGCTGTTCGGCAACGGCGCCTGCTGTTCGCAGGAGCATTAGCAAGGCAGCCAGACGGGCGACTACCGGAACGGTTGATGCTTGGCGAGCTGGTGGATGGGGAGGGCCCAGGCCGGGGGAAACCGGAGCAAAACTGGCACATGTGCCTGAAGGACGACCTCAAGATGTTCGAGGCAGAGCACGGATCTATGGACGCCGAGCCATGTGTCTGCGGAGTCCCGCAAGCAACTTGGACGGAGGCAGCGAAGGTGGAGCGGGGTGGTGCCGTGACATGCGGCGGTACTTGAGGGAACTACGAGGTTCATGACCTTCTGGCCCAAGGAAAGGCGGGGCCCGGGCGCTGGTTCCTCAGTGGCCCCGTCTTGAGGGCTCAACGGGGGGCGACTCTTCTTTCTTGCCGCATTCTCGGGCGTTACAGACACGGCTAATACCGCCAAACAGCAAACAGCAAACAGCAAACAGCAAACAGCAAACAGCAGCACGCACACCGCCACCACCACAACAGCCCACCTGCTTCGACAAGCATGCTACTCGGCGGCCACCACGCCAGCGCTACGGCCAGCAGTGCCACCAAGCGCGGCAATCGTCCCGCGCCGCCGCCGCCGCCGCCGCCGCCGCCGCGACGACCCCTGCATTTCGTTACGCACGAGAGGATCAGCCGAGGATATCCCTGAAAAACTCGATGAAAATGCATACATACCTTCTTCAGGTTCTCACCCTTATTGGACGTGGTGCAACACATTCCTGCGGAATCCTGTTTTCGGTGACTCGGCTTCCAAGCTGCTGATCGAGCAATGGACTTCCTCTGACTTCCTCTGTGGGGGGTCGGCCTTCCCTGCCCCAATCATCCACCCGGCACAGCAGTAGTCAGTGCTTCTACGCACTCTGGGAAACTTGATCGTCGCGTGGCTGCGGTGAGTACATAACTCGCGTACCACCTCACACGAGCATGGTGCTGTAGACCAAGATTTCCCACGCGCGTTTCACACAGCGGAGCATGGTGACGACTGCGGTGCGGAAAACAGACATTCTGTGTCCCCAAAGTGTCCTCATACGGGCTTCCAGAACGGAGAGGTTTAAAAAGTTTGAATGGGCCGAGGTCTACCAATCCCTGCCTTCGGATTTTGGTCAAGTGGTCGCCTTGTGGCCCATGGCGTGAGAGTGGAGCTGTGGGGGGGCGAACTTGTCGAGTTTCTGGAGATCTGCATCCTCTCCGACCCCCGCAATACTTTGAGGGATTCGACTATTGATTGTCAGATCCCGGGAGTTCCAAGTGTATCAGCATGTGCGAAACTCCCAGAGGGTGGTGGAGTGGGCTTGTGCCATCGGCTTTAGGTGAAGGTATTTTATCTCTAAATTGTAGGGAAAGAGAAGGGGTCATGACATTGTCTTAGTTTAGCGGCCCCTCTTTAAAGCAGTCCCTACCTAGTACAGTTTCGACGTACAATAGCAAGGCAAAGCCAGCACCGCTACACAAGAGGGAACATAATCAAGTGAGCGTTCCATCCTGGGTCTTGCAGATTGCACAGGACGTGGCATGACAATCTCGCACCCTACTTCTTAATACCTGTCCCGGGGAGCATTTAGTCGTGTACCACTGCTGTAGGACTACAGGGTGATGAAAGTACACGAGTTTTACAGTTTAATCCACATTAGCATGCGCGCGCATATTGCAATGCAGGTGTATGTAAACACGACCAGGGCAAGGCTGAATGAACCCCCACCCTTGTCGTGAGAAAGATGAAGACGGAGAGCCGCAGGAGAACCAACGGCGAAAAAGAAAGGCGAAGACAGAAAACTTCCTCCGTGGCGACCTTGGCTGGTGTTTTTGTATGCATACCAGAGCACACCAAAAGGCGAACCAACTGACGTTCAAATATACTATTTACATGGGATGGCATCACACATGACACACTCTATAGGCAAATCGTCCAGTAGTATACCGGCTTCTCCAGGCTGAAGTGGTGGAGACTCTCCTGTATGGGTGCGCCTCGTGGAGCCTAACAGCGGAGCACTACACGAAGCTCAATGGGACCCACCGCCAGTTCCTCACACGGTGCATCGGCTGGAGCAAGCGGAAACGCTCCGACCGCCCCCTGTCCTATGCCCAGGCCCTCATCCAGGCAGGCTGCGAGGAAACCATCGAGGCCACCGTGCGCAAACGGAGACTGTGTTTCGCGGGCTTCGTTATGCGCATGGAGGACAACCGCCTCCCCAAGCGCATGCTGTTAGGAGCAATGGCGGGGGGCGTGGGATACCGGGGCGGGCAGGAGAGCGACTGGGTGTCTCGTCTAGGAGAGGACCTCGTGGCCTTCAACATGGGAGACGAAAAGGAAGGGGGGAAATGGAAAGAGAGCGCCAAGAACTCGGAGGTGTGGTACAACAAGNGTGTCCGAGGGCTCTTTTCTCGAACAGTAGGTGCGATACCTGTTCTTTTCTTTCTTTCGATCATTTTGTTTTCTTTTTCCGAGTGGTTTGTATCCTATTTTTGTTTTTTGTTTTCTCGCGGCGTCGTATGTGCCGGGTTTTGAGACCACGGGCTCCCCATTTTTTGTGGACTATAGAGCTAATGTGAGAAACAACAACAACAACAACAACAATACAGCTTTGGCAGTTTTGTACAGCCACCGCTTGTCTACGGTTCATGGGTTGGTTATACATTTGATCTTGGGAAATGGACACAAGCGGGTAATCCACTCCTTTCTCGGACAAAAGTAGGTACTCGAAAATCCAGCGCGCGCGCACTCCATTGGCGGCCCCCAAACGACTCAAAACCCCAATTCTGACACCTGGGCGACACAGCCAGGGACCATACACAGCACGGGCATCGATTTTTTCCCACGTTCAGGCACATATTCGGCCCTAATACCGCAGAGGCGCGCAAACCCTCACCAGAGTGCCCACTTCTGTCCGACATCGCGGTGGGTATACCGAGCGGCGTCAACTATTTTTTTCCATTGTACCCACTTATGTCTATATTTCGACCCAATTTTGTCCAAATTGCGCACACTTGTGTCCATTTACGGACCGCGGAAATCGAGCGGAAATCGAGCGGAAATCGACCTCCACGTCACCGCACGGCAGAACAACGAATAGCCTCGTTAATGAAAAGTATGCAGCAAGAAAAACGCGCGAGCGGGAACTCTACCGATGCCACCTCACATCCCGCCAACAGCAAGGAAACGGGAACACTGCTGATTCCTCGTACGGCACACAGACAACCACGACTACACCAATCATTGTCCCGGACAGAGAGAGAGAGAGAGAGAGCAGAAGCTGAAGAATGTGATGATGCCCAACAACGACCCGGCGTACAGCAGCATCAGTCCATTTGTGTTGCTCCATGGATGCGCGTATCGTAACCACGGCGTTGACCACTGCTGTCTTGGAACTTGGAACGTCATGTTTCCTTTCCAACCCATTTTCGAAATGTTGCTTGGCTTTCCCCACGCTGGACATCTTCTCTCCTCTGCTCCACACACCTTTGCCTGTCGGCTTGCCGTGCACTTTGCAGTAGCAGTAGTCTGCACACAGCGTGGAACGTGCTGAGAGCTCACCGAACCACCACCAGCGGGGCCGGGGACTACTGCTGTACACTCTGTCAACTGCTGTCGACCTGGTCGACATGGCTTCTACGAATAATGAATGCGGAATGTGGAGCACGAGCGCCCGACTCTAGAATACACCTCCGCCGGTCCCGAGCAGATTACATACCATCTCCTTGTCATTCGCAGTGGAAATCGCTCCCGATGGCTACATGGTCATCTCGGGAAGAAGAGTAGATCAGGAACGCCGAGAAGCAAAGCGACTTTCTCTTCTTTTTATTCGGCGCGTGAAAGGGAGCAGACGCTGTTGGCAAAGCAACAAGCGCCACACACCTTGTCAGACACCAACACGCAGGCATACAATCTCTCACCGACACTTCGCAGTCGTGGCCTTTGATTTCATAATTTTGCTGTAGGGCGACCTCCGTGGGGGCACGACCGACGCAAGCGGGCTCGAGATGATGGATGACCACGCAACCTGCCAAGGACGTGCGATGCACAGCCGCCCCGGCGCTCCTCAGCAGTCAAAGAGGGAGGCTTCGGCACCCCCCCACAATCGCCCGAGACAGGGGTTCCAGTTCGTGTACCCCCCTCGAAAGAGCACACGGCGCGGCGGCTTCGGTCCTTTCCTCCACACCCAACTGCACGTCCGTCGGGATACGTGTCAGGTAAGACAACACAAGACTTTGGCGTGTTTATCCTTTTTTGCTAAGCGCTGGCAGTGCGGGATCCATCGACCGGAAATGTGGAAGCCCCGTCGTGTTGTTTTTCGCGCCCAGCTGTTGGCGACGGCGGGAACTTGTGGCCTGGCCTGCCTCGTCTTGTACGGTGTTGCCTCGGATTCGGCCGTGTCCCTGATAGAGCAGCGGTGATCTGCAGCCAACAACTTGCAAACGAAACCGTCCTGCCCCACGCATCCCGACAATGACTTTTCTCTCTTACCCTTAGCTCGCAAGAGGAATACGATGCACTATGAACCGAACTCTGTGCGGCGTTGTCAATTTTTCTTATCCGCGGATGGCGCCCACCGTCCTCTTGGTCCTTGGAAGACCTACGGCAGTGTACAGCAGTATCCAACCCCTCCGGCTGTTGTAGCGTGCGTTAGACTATACCCATGTACGTCTGTGCTGTGCATGTGCCAACACTCCGGGGGTTAGTGATATAGCCGGCATTCTAGCTTCGTAGGTGGCTTATGAAGAGCATCTACAGCCAAAGTATTCATGACTCGCGCCGCAGTCCAAACGAATACACGCCGCCGCTGTTGTGCTTGCGCCTGCGAGCAAACAAGACGGCAGCTAGTCCTTGAGATACTGAGTAGTGTCAGATGGCAGCGTGTAATGTGCCTCTCACTCCGCTGTCCCCGCCCAACCCTTGCTTTGCTGTTCCAGACCCCTCCCCCCCTAAAAAAAAAGAACGTCTTGCTGCCTCTGTGCGAGGCACGGAGGTGTACTGCTATGTGTTTCTCTCCATGTGTACACAAATACAACACCCGTTGTGAGACGGCGGGAGCGCATTGTTGGTCGGCACAGACAGATTCACCAAGCACGCCGGCTTCCACGTAGGTGGTATACCAAATATTCGATCGATCTTCCGAGTTTTCCACGGCGGCATTGTTCGCAAAACCCATTTTGACGAGAACCCTCTCGCGGCCCCCTCTGTAATAGGATGAGGCGATAAAGAGGCCGGGTCTCTTCCTTTGTCTGACGAAGTGTGGTTGTGATTGTGATATATGTCCTGGGAACCAACCAGCCTTGTCTTGTCGCGGAAGTCCCGGACGTGGTGCGGCATGCATCACGAGAGAGAGGAAAAGGGGCCGCATGGTAACCTGTCGCGTGACGTGGCTTGGAGTGCCACTGCGAGGTGACAGGAAACTAAACAGCAGTGTATTAAACACTATAATAGCGTCATTCCGTGCGCTTTTCATGGCAGCTGGGTGGGCATTGGGGTGTTGTGGTCAAGTCCCCACGACACAGCAGTAGCGACGACGACCAACACGCACTCCTTTATTTCAATTTTCGATTGCCATGCAGTGCGTCGACGCAGACGTGTTGTGTATGCTATTGTGCTTTGTAGGTCAAACAACTTGTTGTTCTACCCAATCCCTTCACGATCTCGACGCGTGCAGAAAAGGAAGAGGAAGAGGAAGTCGGAGAGGGCGACAACGCAGCGGCGCGGCACCTATTGTACGCGCAACCGTTAGTTTCGCTTGCTTGGAGAGGAGTGGGGGAGAGGGAGAGGGAGACGCGCGCCGCCACAGCTTGTGGTTTGGGAAGAGGCAGTCGCCACCATGCAGTGCGCAAGTGAGAGCCGATCGTGTGTCGATTGCTTTGATCCCTGCGTGTGAATCTTGCTGCAAGGGCGCGGGGTGGGGGTAGGTGGGGGGGGGTAGGGCCACCCGAGAGAGCCAGTATTTTGCCACAGAACGAACATCACTGTACTAGTACGGCAAGGCGTTGGTGTTGCTTTTCGTTTTCCAGAACACGACGACTTCGATGGCGGGACCAGCTGCATGCAGCGAGCAGGTATAGCGTTTATGCAAGGTCAAGTTGCGCGGTATCTTCCATCGCCGAAGGGGGGGAGTATCGCGTACGAACGTGCGCATGCTGGGTTTTTTACCACCTTGCTGTCCCCCCCCCCACTCGCGCTCCTTGTGCGCCCGGAGCAAGCGGGTGCGGACGTTCTGACAAATCGTTAAGGAAAACTGATATGCGTCGGGACGCATCATTACGGGGTTGAATTCCGCGCTTTTGTTGCGGCCGCGCCAACAGCAGGGCGAGGCTCGGTGCTATCACCAGCAGAGCCGCGTGCATCCGCAACGCCATACGGTAGCTGATGCCATCAATCACCATTCCCCGTTAAGGCGTGAAAGACAATCCCCTGATATATGTTCTCTGTCTCGTCTCTGTCTCGCTGCCCCTGGTTCCGTCACCGATGCGGGCGACGGTTGTACCGGCGGCGCGGTCTCTCTGCGTTTGCTTTTTCATTTGCTGCTGCGTGCGTGGTGGGGAAGTCTCGGGACAGACCCCGGAGACCCCGGTGGTGTCGAAGAAGTCGGGGCACATCTACGAGAAACGGCTCATCGTCAAGTACATCGATGCCGAGGGAAAGGTGACACAAGAGAGACTGGTCTATGAAACGGTCTGCATTCTCCTTCAGGGGGGGGGGCGCAGTGGTGCTAGGAAGCTGCTCGTACACGCTCCCATCGGCCCGCCCTCCTCTTAGAAGCACAGCGACTTGCGACTTGTTATGGGTTGGGAAACATTCTTTTAGGCGCGAAAATAGGCAGGCTTTACATTGCGAATTCCACCTCACGCCTATTCTAGGGGGGCGGCCCGACTTCCTTGCGTGGCGTAATAATCAATTCGATTATCATGTCGCCCTTTTTGCTTGGGTGCACGATGACGACGACTACTTGTAGTATAACACTGATCATGGCGTATGCGTGCACGTGTGTGACGGCAGTGCCCCGCAACCGGGGAGGAGCTCACGGCGGACGACCTGCTGGATGTGCGATCGGAGGGGGCCGTCAAGCCCAGGCCCGCCGAGGCCGCCTCTATCCCCGGTCTCTTGTCTTTCCTGCAGGTGAGAGGACAGGACGTCCTTTTCCAAGGTGTACCGGTAGAGGGGAGGGTTGCAAGAGGGAAGGGGAAGGATTCGCACTCATGTTTTGCAAGCCTTGGCTGACCAAAGGGGGGTGGGGAGGGGGAGTCAATTTATCCGTGGATTCACTCCTGTTGTCTGTGCATGTTCGTGTTTTCGGAGATTTGTGCTGCGTACGGTACAAATAATTGTAGGCAGACTTACAGGGTGTGTTTGGTTTGTTGTGTTGCAAGGCATGTGTTGGGGTGTTGCAAGGCATGTGTTGGGGTGTTGCAAGGCATGTGTTGGGGTGTTGCAAGGCATGTGTTGGGGTGTTGCAAGGCATGTGTTGGGGTGTTGCAAGGCATGTGTTGGGGTGTTGCAAGGCATGTGTTGGGGTGTTGCAAGGCATGTGTTGGGGTGTTGCAAGGCATGTGTTGGGGTGTTGCAAGGCATGTGTTGGGGTGTTGCAAGGCATGTGTTGGGGTGCGTTTTTTGTTTCGGTTGTGGGGACGCAATATGTAAGAGCAGTTGTTGTCGAGATTGTTGGACGGAAGTCGGGATGATGGGGATCTCTATTTTGTCTCTCCCGTCTTCATTTTTCATACCCCATCGTGGTGTACTCGAAAAGTTGCGGTGCATTCCATGATGCTGAAGCTGTTCCTCGGCCCAACCTTGTTGAGCCAACAATCGAGACCAGGCTTCGCCCCCCCCCCCTTCCACCCCCGTAGCCGGTGTTTGCCATCGGGGTTGGGTTTTCGTCGCTTGGCAACGACGTTGTCAAACAAACCGCCCCCCCCAGAGCCTGGTCCGGTGAGAACCCGGCGTGCTCCGTCCCGGCTTTGTAGGGATGCGAGGTCAATGGTCTAACGCT